TCTCCTTAAAACAACGCTACAAATGAACTTAGTGATTTATTACTTAGTATTCCTCTAAAAATCAGACATTCGCGCTAACAAACACATTCTGACTTTTAGTACTATAATAATCCACTCATTTCTTGTTACTACGAAGTATCCCACAGATAGCCTAATTTCCGAACATCTTTTCCATTCCTATTAGTATCAACTTTCCAGCACGAGTGCTGAAATGCTCTGAATCCGATTATGTTCATAACAAGGCCTAAGTCTTGCCAACAATTCATTCAGAGTAATGACTATTAAACTTAGATAGGATTATGTTCAGAACTTATCCTGCTATTTGTACAACTCCAATACGAAAAAGCAAAATTTCTAATAACTCATCATTGACATAACCAATATTCTAATGAGTCATTTTCCTTCGGTCTGTTGTACCATCATGTTCCGATTAACCAGGTGAAACACATTGAGATCGAATCTCAAAATCCAATAAGTATTTCTATAATTTTCCAAATGGTACTAGTCACTACGATCTTAATCGTAATGCCACTGATACATTAATCTCGACATCTTTCCATAAACGCCACTGTACTCCCTCGAAGTACTCAAGCTTATGCAATGTCATTTAATGTACCATGTCTTGAACAAAATTCTTAGAAGAAAAATATTCAAAACTACCTTTCGTCCTAAAATTATAGAACTTCACAAATCGAATGAACCAATGCTTAGCATTTATTTGGCTTCTAAACCTCGACCTTCGTGTAACACCCCGCTATTTCATGAAAATCAGAGTGCATATTTCGAAAAGTTTTTCAAAAAAAAAAACATTATGTTGCGAAATACTGATTCGGAGTGCTACCATAATACATGACTTTACTTTTAAATCCAACATTTTAGTTTATACGAAAACGACTAATAGTCTGATAACTGGTCATCGGATCAAAAGGACTAAGTTTGACAAACAGTAAAAACTCACCAGAAACTGTAGTGGCAAAACATGTAAATCTCCCTACGAAAGATAGTAACAGCACCGCTGCGCGTAATTCAAACTTTATAAGCATAATGCCCGCATAATTCAAACTTTATATGCATAATCCTGAACCGACCGCCATCTCACACCTCCGGTCCGACTCCATGACCTGAAAAACACAATACAAATGGGGCGTGAGCACTAAAGTCCACTGTGCTTCGTAGGAACTCATAATAAAGTAAACAGTGAAAATAATTGCAATAACATGATCCTGGCATATATAACTTAACTGAACTGAAACCGGTACTGAATAATTATGATCTGATACTGATGTCGTGATAATCATCACCTGTCTGATACCTGAACATCTGCCAGCACAAAAATGTCGGACACCATGTGCACACTCTAGTGGGCAGACTAAGGCCACTAGAACCCAGAATGGACCGGCGACCATTCCGAGCGGATACTGTTAATACATACCTCAAACATGGTAGAGTAATTATAATCAATGTAATATCCAGTCTGAGTACCCTCCTGATCCGTCGAAATGAAAAGGCAGTGCTGATAATAGTATCCTGATCAAACTGAAAAATAATATAAACAATTACTAAATACTATGCTCAGACTGATAAAATTAGTTGTTTAATACGTTAAGATGCTCTACTAAAACTGAACATGATATTTGGACTGAACCAGTATAATCGGAACTGATTTAATACAGAACTGAACTGATATGAATTTACTGAATTGAACCGGACCCGGAATTTAACTGAAAATGGAACCTGAACATAAACCGAGACTTAAAACATTAAATCATAGGTGAACCAGTTTGAACCGGTCGAGTTGCTGTCTGGCTGGACCGCCGGCCTGCCGTGGCCGGGCGGTCGGCCGCTGGCTTGGCCAACCGGCCTGCTAAGGCCGCTGCCACAGGCGCTGCATGGACTGGCCGCGGACACGGGCGCTGCCGTGCCTCACTGGCTGTGGCTGATCGCGGCGTGAGTGCTTGTGCACGCTGGCGTGTAGCTGGCACCACTCACACATACATAGAGTAACCATCAGGCACAGCTGAGTGCTGCCGATGGTCTACTGGACGTGATCTGGGCTGCTGGCGTATGTATCGTGCGCACTAGCAGACCCTCGTGTACTGGCTGGTTGCTATTGGAGGCACAAGATGACTACTAGTGCTGCCGAACGCTATGTGCGTTGGCACTCGTGCGTCTACGCACTGCTGGGCGTTACCGGGCGCCGCAACACGTGTGTCTAGCCATAAGAACGTGCACTGGGGCGCTGGCTGGCGTGACTGAGTACCGCGAGGGTACTACCGTGCGATCCTGACGGTACCTAGCACTCGGCGTGCTGTTGGGCAACACTCGAGGCCGAATTACGTGAGGACACACGTACTGGCATACGCTCGGTATTGGTGTGCACTGGGTATTGACCAGTTGACAACTACCGCGGGCAGAACTACACACAACGCCCAGTTGGGCGTGCACGCACATCACCCGTGTACGAGGTCTGACTGCCGGCGCGTACTACCCGCTGCGTGCGGGCACGGCGACCACGACCGATCTTTACCGGTCGTCCGGCGACATGCTCCGACAACCTCAAAATGACTCAACATGATTTTTCATAACATGACCAAATATGTACAATTTACTCGAAAATCATGAATTTTGCTCGATGAACTAAAATGGCCGGTGGCTTGCGCACCGTGTGCTACCTACGGCTTTAAGCCGATTCCTCGACCGAACACGATCTTATTTCAACCACCAAGACATAACTGAACATGAAATATCATATAATGATTAAATAAACATGGATTGTTTTGAAGTTGTAGGAATAAATGAACCTCACTCGGTCACGGCTTAACATGGAGCAACCGAGAGTAAACATGGCCAAATGATGAACTTGAAAGCATGATTTGAACATAATTTATCTAGCATGATCTTATTAACATGAAGAGATAGCAAAGCGGATGTTACCTCTTCAAACTATCGATGAATTGTGCAAGGTCGTACGTGATTCCTCGTCTCCGTGCGAGCATGCGTGAGAAATGATCTTAAACTAGCTTAATTAATATAACTCTTGGCTTAGTGTTTAGCTTATGCATAAGCTAAATTTTCACCCAATTTCAGATTTATATAGAAGGTAAACGTTAGGTGAAATTTGGGTAAAAATGATGACAAGAGCGTAGCCAATAGGCTTGCGCCACTTGCCGTGCGTGTGAGGCCTTAGATGGCCTTTTAGGAGCTTAGTCACCACATGCTTTGCCTAGTCATTTCCCAATTGAACTACAAGCTTCCACATAAGCTAGGGGCATGATGAGACTTCACGTGAGAATTTGAAGAAGCAACTCTCGGCAATTGAATGGACTAAGCACGACTTTAGTGCTAAGTAATCATGCTTGATGCTAATGACGTGCGGTTGGTGCTTGAACGTGCATGCTGTGCTTAGACTTAAACTAAACACACTTTGCATCGGACAAAACTTAATTAGGCTCCACATTACGGAATGCAAGATGATTAGCATACGCTTAAACATGATTAAGCTCGGTAAAATATTTATCGAGCGATTAGACATGGATTAAATGATAATTCATGAAATTAAATACTTAGAACTTATTAAGAGCATAACATGAACATTATGGAGTTAAACAACGTAATTTACATGACTAATATAATGGGCTATTACAATCTGCCCTCCTTAAAATTATTCCGTCCTCGGAAATACACAACGAAACATATATATACATGAAATATAAGAAACATATACATCAAAACTGGAAATCAAGAAAACGAGCGCGAATATCTGCCACCTGCTCCCAAGTGGCTCCGTGGCGATCCCACTGAATACGAACGAGGGGAACATCATGCTTCCGGAGCCGTCGAACCTGTCGGTCCAACACAGCTACCGGTCGCTCCTCGTAAGATAAATATGGATGGATCTGAATATCATAATGCTGAATGACAGGATCTGGATCGCACACGTACTTGCGTAACATAGATACATGGAATACATTATGAATATTGGACAACTCGGGAGGTAAGGATAATTGATACGCAACTTCGCCCACTCGCTCGAGAACTTCGAACGGGCCAATGAATCTAGGGTGCAACTTCCCTCTCTTCCCGAATCGAATAACTCCGCGGAATGGACTAACTCTGAGAAAAGCTCGCTCACCAACCTCGAACTGGATTTCTCGTCGATGCTGATCGGATTTAGATTTCTGTTGACTCTGAGTTGTCTTGAGTCTCTGCCGGATCAACTCGACCTGTTCTGCAGTTTCCTCAATCATCTTCGGACCGAGTACTCGACGCTCACCGACATCGTCCCAATAAAGAGGGGAACGACACTTACGACCGTAAAGTGCCTCGTAATGAGCCATCTAAATAGAAGAATGATAATTGTTGTTGTACGCGAACTCAACAAATGGCAATAACGACTCCCACTTAGCACCCCTGCCAACAACCAAAGCTCGTAGTATATCCTCCAACATCTGAATGGTCCGCTCAGTCTGTCCGTCAGTCTCCGGATGGTAGGCTGAACTAAACTCTAGTCTCGTGCCCATCGCCTTGTGAAAACTCTGCCAGAATCTACTAGTGAATCTGGGGTCTCTGTCTGACACGATAGTAACAGGCACTCCGTGGAGTCGAATGATCCCACGGGCATAAATCTCAGCCAACTTGTCCAAAGACATATTCATTGATACTGGTAAAAAATGAGCAACCTTAGTCAATCTGTCGACCATGACCCAAATAGCGTCGTGATGTTCAGACGACCTTGATAACCCTGTGACGAAATCCATCGTAACCTCCTCCCACTTCCACTTCGGAATCGGCGGTGGTCGTAGAAGGCATATGGGACTCTTATGTTCGACTTTGACTTGCTGACAGGTTAAACATTTCCTCACAAAGTCGGCTACGTCCTTCTTCAACCCTCGTCACCAGAACGACCTTTTCAGGTCATGATACATCTTCGTGCTTCCTGGATGGGCTAGATATGGTGCGGTATGAGCCTCAGTCAATATATCCTTCCTCAACGCTTCGACTTTTGGCACCACAATTCCTCGAAATTCCGAGGCCCCATCAGTGCCTCGGTGAAAACCCTCGATGCCTCCGGCACAGGCTTTGGCATCAATGGCACGAACAAATACATCAGAAGCCTGCTCCCGCCGGATCCTTTCCCTCAACGTCGGTTGAACCTGCATAGAACTGACACTCCCTGTAATGGCTGTAGAAAGTGCATCAACCACCTGAATCTGCATCTGGGCGAACTCCTGAATAAGACGGCTCTGCTGAGTAACAACATACGTCAAGTCACCCTTCACCTTACGGCTTAGGGCATCTACTGTTGGGACCTATGAGGATCTCGATATGCACAAATCACGGACAAACATTCAAACATAAACCTATGCGCAGCGGATCTAAAGGTTTGATGTAGAAAACTTACGGCTTAAAATTTATGTAGATCTGGCTGGCCCGAACAGATGACCGCAAATCAAATCTTCTCAGAATCGAACGAACTTGACCAATCCAGAAAGCTGGCGTCACGGAGAAGTCAACGACGTTGACCGGTCGGAAATCGGAGGGTTCACGCGCTCCCACGCGCGTGTAAGTTCCAGCAGCTGGGATCTTCCGGCGGTGCGTGTGGGCGCGTGCGGCGGCGGCTGGCGGTGAACTCGACGGCGATCTCTCCGACTCGTCGTCCTGGTCGTCGTGGTATGGTCACTTGCTGGTTTTGGTCTCTGGTTTGGATGGATGATAGATTTGATCGGAATCCCGTATTTACCTTAAGATCTTCTACTGTATTCTCAAACAGCTATCTAGATCTTGTATCAGTGGAGCACAAGAAATAGAACAACTTATTGGAAGAGAGAGAGAGAGGGGGCGGACATTTTTCCCAAGGTTATGAGATTATCTCTTCTTCCATGAGCCTAATGATGTATATATAGAGCAACAGTAGAGATCCTAAGGAGAATAGGATAAGAGCTTCTAATATATTAATACTGTGGAGCAACCCCACAATTAATATGTTAATAATATTAAAGTCTACCACAATAATATTATTGCACTCCCTTTACCTATCCCAAATTACATTTGAGACTCCTTATTATAATTATCCGATTTACCTCCCCATGTTTAAGATATAATGTCCATTAATTAATTCGATCACTAATAATCAAGAATTAATTAATATATTATATTACCGAAGCTAGCGCTCGCTCATAGCATTCATATTATGCCGGAATAAATCCACCTGCAGGGTTTAGCATAATATTCCTTCATGAACTCAATTCGGGGACATCATCATACTAACGCACATGGTGACCGTAAATATCCTAATAGCACATCGAACACATAATGTCATTACCCAATTCATTAAGTATGTCGACCCGGCTTCGATCTCACCCAAAGAATCAAAGCAACAACAATTATGTGCATATGCCTATTTAATATCTTACGGGTTAAGAGCACGCAATAATTAACTGAGGCCTAGTTCGTTTACGATGATCAGTATAAAACGAACATCCCTCTCTGGGATCCTGTTCAATACATAAATGTACTAGTGCAACTAATCGGTCAAGACAAACCATACGGTTGACACGACAACCATTCTGATGGGTTGTTCAATTCCATCTAGGTTGTGAACCAATGATTCTTGTTTCGCAAGTAACTGATATAGTGATCTTCGGTACACCCGATGACGACCCACTTATCTACATGCAAAACAACAGAACGTGGAACTTATTTAACCAAACATAATTCTCATTCATCAAGAAATAACAAGTGTAATATCCACTAAAGCAAAGCTTAAGTATATAACACCAACAATCTCCCACATATACTTAAAGCTGCCGCTATACTAGTATAGTCCTATCAATCCGTATCCTAAAAGACCTATGTCGATCCTATCACCATACATTTGACTCCCATTCTCTCTACGTGTTTGGCGAAGACCTTCTCCGGCAAACTCTTCGTAAAAGGATCAACTAGGTTGTCTTCTGATGCAATCTTGGTGATCTCAACTTCTCCTCTTGTAACAATATCTCTGATAAGGTGGTATTTGCGCTCTATGTGTTTGCTTGCTCTGTGGGCTCGTGGTTCCCTTGAGTTTGCTACTGCACCACTGTTATCACAGTACACGGTAATAACACGTGGCAAACTTGGAATCACTTCTAAGTCTACCAAGAAGTTTCTGAGCCTAACTGCCTCTTTCGCTGCCTCAGAGGCTGCGATGTACTCGGCTTCCATAGTGGAGTCTGCTACGCACTTCTGCTTAGCATTCCTCCATGAAATGGCTCCACCTCCCAAGGTAAACACATAACCTGAGGTTGACTTACTCTCGTCCCTATCTGACTGAAAATCAGAATCGCTGTAACCCAGCGGAAACAAACTGTCTGCACGGTAAACTAACATGAACTCCTTAGTCCTTCGCAGGTACTTGAGTATATGTTTCACCGCAGCCCAATGTTCCCTTCCTGGATTACTTTGATATCTCACTACCATGCCAACGGCGTAGCTAATATCAGGCCTAGTGCACAGCATTGCGGTGACACCCCACTTTGATTTTACAGAAATTCCGAACATTCCAAAAATCAGTATAAAATTTTCGAGATCATTTTCGAAATCTAATGGTTGTTAAACAACATATTTCGTAACCCAAGTCTTATCTGGGTCCACGGGGATTCATTACCC